GGTCTGGAGGAGAGGACAGTCACCAGGTCAACCATTCAGTCCTCTCTCGATACTAATGAACGTAGATGGATCGATGACATATCAGGTGATGAATTACCTGAGTATCGTAATCGTTAGGTGCTTTGTGCATATATCAAACATCTTACTCGGTTGTACTGTGACCAAAATATTCTTCACAATATCATCATCGTTCATTTCATTGAAAAAACGTTTCTTTATGGGAGGGTTCTCACTGTTTTGAAATTGATCAAAGGATAAATTTCGAATTCAACATATTTGTTGTATGTGATTTGGCGAAAGAAACGGTTTTTTAATTCCTTTCAATATAATGATTCTTGAGTATTATTCGGTAATGTAAAAGGATCATAGTTGTTAGATGTATATGGTAACATGGTACGATATTATTGGGAAAACGTTTAAAAACTTTTTCTATGTTTGTTAAGCGGAAGGATATTTTCTGTACACCTGTTATTTGCAATTACATATTTCACGGCATAAAATTACGCCATGCAAATTTACTTTTTCAGTGGCATCAATCTCTGCTCATTCATAATCTTACCTCACTGTTATTTTCAATATGAATTATATGAACGTTTTTATTTAATTATTCCCTTATCTTTGGTCAAATGAGTTAAAATACAATTTGTAGAAAACCAATTTTTTATTTAATTACACTTTTCTGTACTTTATATCGAAATAAAATTTGAAACAACTACAGTATAATAATAACTTATAAAATTTTTTTAAAAAGAAAATATTTTTTGTCAACAGTTTGGTAAATATCAGAAACTTAATAAAACAAAAAAAAATCAAATAATGATAATAATAAGAGGTTAATAGTGATGATAGGATAATAAAACATTAAAAAATGATTCTTTGATTTATCTAAAAATTTTTAAATCAAAATCAAATTTATAAACTCATAATTAATATCTTTCTAATAAATATTTGAATATTAAACTTGCAATATACTGTACTTGATTAATGTTTTAATCAATATGAATTAAAATTTAATATCAATATAGTGATGCTTATTAAAAAACCAATATTTTTATAAGACTGTTCTGTCTTATTTAAATTTTATCATATAGAAGTATTGTTTTTTATCATTTTAATGTAATTTTTTATTAAAATTATAAAACTTTTAACGAGATCACATTATATAAATTTTACTAATTATGATTTATAAAAAAATTATTGTATATAACCCGAAATTAAATAATGGTAATTATTTTACAGATTCTCAAAATTTCAATTATAGAATTTATTTGCACAATTGGTCGAAAAATTGAAGCCTAATTTATGTATAGAGTCTAAAATATACGAGTAATGACAATTAAATACAAACCGTTATAAATAAAAGCAACAAAACTCCAAGATTTAAATTATGCTATAGTTACATCTACAAATTGTGTAATATTTAAATTTAATTAATTCTTGTGAAAGAATCCAAATGTGGTCGAAAATTTTTTTTTTGTATAAAGTAACAAGTTTGAATGAAAACTAAAGAGTAGTTTTTTGATTAGTTGATAAATATAGGCTTAATCTGTGTACACGATCAAGACTAAAGTTGTACGCCGTCCAATTACCTGAATGACATATTCCAATAATTTTGACATATGTCTCATAATTAGATAGATCATCTAGAATCCTTTATGCGACGGAGAAAATGTAGCATTTTTATTGTGGCTGTTGTCCTGGGTGACTTGGATGGTAAACCCATTGATTATTAACCATTTGTCGAGGAGAATTATCGATTATTCGTTGTTGAGGAACCATTATGTTCGGTCTCGCAATAATGCCTTGACGACCTTGAATTTGTTGTAACATTTGTTGCATTTGAATTTGTTGAATTTGTTGAATTTGTGACGGATCTTGAATTTCCAGTTGCATTTGTGGGTTTATTTGAAATTGTGGTTGTTGAACTATGAAACTTTGGTTATTATTTCTAAATTGCTGCTGCTGTTGTTGTTGTTGTTGTTGCTGTGTCATTAGATTAGCCCTGTAAATATTACGCGGGTCAAGCAAGGGTTGTTGTACTCTTATATTTTGCATGTTCGGAACATTCATGTTAATTAATCGTCTATTCAATAATTGATTGGAAAGTCTATTGGCAATTTGACTTTGAAGTTGCGCGTACTGCATTGGCGTCATTACTGTCTGGTTATTTCCAATTTGACCAATCATAACCTGACCAGAATTTATTTGAGTTGCTTGATTATTGGTTTGAGTCTGATTTTCCTTAGGCGCGGGAGCAGCGTGAATTTGTATACCGTTCTTAGGCTGTTGAGGGATGGATATAGGCCTAGGTACAGAAGGATGACCTTGGATTCCTTGAATTTGAATTGGAACTGATGCCGAAGGTCCTGCAACTGAATTCGAATCGCCTTGAACTTGAATGTATGTTGGAATTTGCGTTGGTGTCCCCGGATTAGATTGCTGGGCTTGAGTTTTCATAGTAATTTGAATAGGTGTATTAGGTGTTGATAATTGAGGAGGTTGGATTTGCATCTGTTCTTGCATTTGCATCGGAGTTCCTTGAAGTTGATTATGGCTTATATCAGATTGTTGGTTCTGTCCAGAGATTAACAAGGGTGTTCCTGGAGCAGAGTGTTGACCAGGCATTCCAATTTGAACTGGCGTTTGTGCAGGACTTGGGACTGATGACTGATTTGATGACTGATTTTGTTCGCCTGGAATTTGCATCATCATTTGAGGGTGCGGATGAAATTGTCCACTTTGTGAAGGAGACTCGGGTTGATTCGCTGCATCCATCTGTTTGGAATTTTTTCGTCTTGGACGTTTAACAGGCAACTGAGGTTTCGGTGCCATTTGAACTTGCGAATTTGCAGGAATAGGAGGTCGATTGGAGGGAAATTGTGCCATTTGCTGAGGTATTAGATGATTCTGAATTTGAGCCGTCGGAGAAAATTGTAATACCATTTGTTGACTCTGTGGATTTTGAATCTGGTGATTGGGAATTTGTAATACCATCTGTTGAATTTGCTGAATTTGTGGGTTTTGCATTTGTATTGGTGACGCAATATTTTGAATTGGAATTTGTTGAGGATTCGGCAGAGGTTGTTGTTGGAGTTGTCCAACTTGTGATTTCGGTGATTGTATTGGGGGCATCGGACGACTAACACGACGGATAGGTCGCGGCGGTGGGGGCATTGCAGCTTGATCACCCATCTTGTTTTGAGAGTTTTTGATTGCAGCCGCTTTAACGAGGTCATTTATTGATTCGATTTTAATGGTTTCATTTTCATCTATTTTGAAATCAAATTGTGAATCTATTCCTAGAGGAGGATTCTCTGCCAGAAATTCTATAATTTGGTATGGTTGCTTTCCTCTGGTATTCGGTATCTCGGATAACTTATTTGAATAATCGCCTGCCAGTTGTGCGATTGTTTCAACGAGAGCTTTTTCGTTTCCTTCGGAATCGAATCTCAAAGTATTGCTCATTCCATAAAGAACAACAAACGATTTAATAAAAATCTGGTAGTCTGTGATATTTTCGAGTTCACATCTACGTATTAATAAAATATATATGTTAATAGAAAATTTATGTAATCAAACTAATGAATTGATGTTGATTTCTTACTTGAGAGTCGCTTTACTATCATCTAATTTTGCATGATAAATTTTACTATCCATACTACGCATAAAATTCCCATATTCAGTGGATATTTTTAATTCTCTCTCATCAACAGTATGAACAACGACCATATGTTTATCGTTTGAGTCGCGATATATGTATACCAAGGTGTACAGCTTTTCAACAGGTTCTATTAAAACATTGAAAAAAAAATTTTTTAACCAATAATAAAAATTTCGTTATATATAATGCAAATAGTTACCATTATTATCTATCTCTACCGATGAACACCGTCTTTCAAACGTCAGCGTCCTGAACATAGTACCAAAGGGCTTCTTCTGAATTGACAAAGTAACTCCTCGTCCTTTTCAATAATAAACACAAAGACGTTAATCATTTTGAAGCTAATGGAATTTGATACAAATAAAATGTCAATATTTAGCTTACCCAATTCAGTAGGTGGTTCTAGGTCCGCCCTCTTCTTTCCTTTATTAGAAGCATCTTTTTGATCTCTGAAATATCTCACTTGGTTGAACTCTGGTTTAAAGTCTCTTCCATGACGCTATTAAAAATACACAATTATGATTCTATGCATAATCAAACTCAATTAGAAATTAGAAGAGAAATAGTGATTCATACTTCGTCCATCATTAACATCATTTTTTCTTGCTTGATTCTCTTAGCATCAGCTTGTTTCTGCTCGTAAGAGTTGAGCTTTCGTTTCTTCCTTTTCAGTTTGCGATGCACTGGTTG